TAAGCGACAAAACGGTCCCTTTCACATCAACTACAGATCTATTCTAATACCTACATGTATAAGCAAGCATAACAAATAAGTTTACATATAAAAAATGTGATTTTGATTAATGTGTTTGTTTATTCAGAACGGGTCTTTATGTTCAAAATAAACCAGACTGCATGCCTCCTTTAACTATTCGACAACCGAAACTAAAACGGGAGGTAATAATAGAAAGTCGCGTGACTGGAAAATCCCACTTTCTTGTTTAGTCTATGCGCAAACCACAGCAATTTACGTTGTGGAGTGAGCTGTTTTATTTTTTAATAAGACGCATGCTCAGGACTGGAGCTCGCCTTACTATCACGTGAATGGTTTAACTGCGCATTACCATATCAATAGGCTTTACGATCAGCCCCAAGTGAAAATAAGACGTTAGATATCTAATCGCAGATCATATCGAGACCTTATACATGGTTACAGCTACTATAACGTTAACATTACAGCAGGTAAGTCTCTAAACAGAAAATTCATTGATCGAATGATGCAATATACTGTAGTGTCCCGGTATCTGATGTAATTTAATTGTAGCTGCGTTCGTGTTCATGTGAGGGCGCATGCATGCATGGCAGTAGGAGAAAAGTTGTTTTTAATTCAGACTTTTTCTTTTTTTTTTTTCTGGGGGGGGGGGGGGGCACAAAGTGACACATTGAATTAAGCCATATTGATTCTAACTAAAATGTAATGCATGCATTTCGTCTGCGGGGTACGTATTGATTCCTGCGCATTCTTCATAACGGAGCAAATATATATTTTTAGTTTCCGTCTGCTACACTGTACGTTGCATTCCTGTGTGTTTGAAATTTTGTCTCGTATTTCCAAACGTGATTATATCCGTAGTAGGGCCTATAAATGCTTTTGTTTTATACATGTAGGACTTAACGTAGTGGTTCATGTGCTCTACACGTACGGGCGGTGACACGGTGTAATCGGTAGACTAAATATATCATGAAAAAACTAAAAACAAAGCATTGACAAACAAGCATTATGCTACGGGGCTACGGATTATTGTAAACCTTAATTAAAAGGATGACAACTGTGCATTTTGGCCCAAAAAATTTTTTTCTGGGGTATACGACATTTGTTCCATACTTACTAATGGTTAATGAATCCATTCCAACATTCAAACTTAGTCGTTGTTTTTTTTTTTCTAAAAAGATTGGTTTTTTGTAATATTACAGAGTGTAGTCAGCTATGGAAGTCACGTGATGTGATGGCAAGCACAAATTTCAGAATAATTGCGTTAACCGCCGTTTTAGTGGTAAAATAGAATTTATTATATTTCTATGAGTTGTTTACAATGCATTTATAGTGAAATATGGATATCATATGAACAGTTGTCGTCCCTTAATATGGGTTGTTACTTCTCTCTGCCAGATGCTAGCTGCGTGATGACGTCATTGGGATACTTTGCAATAACCCGCAGTACAGAAAAGCGCTGGGCAATCAAAAGATAAATATCTATGAATGTCTAGCGAAAAAATATTTCGGTGATTCTGGTAGAGGGCATAGGTTGTTGCAGTATACTCTCCAATGGACTTTTTTATTTTTATTTTCAGATGCCTACGGTAAACTTCTACGGTCAATGATAGGGACAAGCAATGGACCGCCAGGACCATGTGCGATTACTGAAAAATCACGATTATCTGATAAAGAACCTTCAGACACACAGGCTACTGTCCCATTTAGTACAGTCAAGGATTCTAGTTGATGATGAAGCAGCCGGTATCCTAAATACAGTTTCCGAGAACCGTAAGGCGGAAGAACTTCTTCGGCTTCTCAAACGTGGCGGCCCAATGGCGTATTCAGCGTTCCTACAGGCTTTGGAAAACGCAAGTCAGTATTATATAATCAAAACTTTGAACGATACAGAAATATCACAACAAGATTTATTGAAATATAGAAGAAATAAAAAGCGTTGTCGGGGCACCCGGTCAAAGTCCCGCTCGACCTCGTCTGGAGACACAACTTCAGAATCGAGCCATAGTTCTTCGGATACCGATTCTGAATGTTTTTTGGGAAACGGACACCAACTATTCAATGGTCGCACTGAAGGAAGGGATGTTTCAGACGATATTCCCGCATCGGTGGCACAAGCAGAGCTGTCCAGTAAGGAACAGAACTATCTATTACTGTACGAAAAGCTTGGGAAAGAAGTCGATGACGGCGGATTGCGAACCTTTAGAAGAAGGGTTAAAAAAATGCGGAAGAAATCTCTGCCAAGCGACGTTCGTGTAGTGATATTACTAGTGCAGTTAAAGCACGCTTATTTTAAGGGATTGTTTCAAAAAGATTCCCAGAAAGTGAATTCCTATGATCGACAATTGCAGAAGGAGATAGGCAAGACCGTCAACCCCGCAATGTTCTCAGCCATGTATCTTTATCTCAAGGCTTCAAGGTACCGTTGTTCAAGAAACATGCGTAGTGCATGGGAGGCGTTAACGTGCGCTAAGCAGCAAATCAGCTCCTTAAAAATAGGCCGCGTGACTGCCGCCGTCTTCTTCCACGAGGCGAGTCTCCGTAGTCAAGAACGGCACATGACGAAGGAAAACCTGCATGAAATCGTTTACTGTTATGGCAAGAGTGTCGAATGCTACTACACGGACCAGGTAATGGGGAGACATAACGATCGTAAGATCCAGGTGGCACTGTGCAAGCAGGCCATTGTGCTGTGCGGTTATGGGGAGACCCCGAACTACGATTGGCCGGTGCCAGATGAGTCAGACATGCGCCAGGCCTGGGAGTGTATAGAGAAAACCGAAAGCGACTTCGGGACACTTGTAATGAACTCTGTAGGTAGCTGTTACTTGAATATTGCCAAATCAGATTACTATCAGAGGAGGGAGAAGTATGATATCGCGTTGGAGTATGCACAGATAGCGCACCGCGTTGCCACCAATGGAGGGTTTCAGAACGAACGTAATTATGCCAAACTGAGAGTAGCGATACTTTCCGCGCTGAAACAGACTCAGAAACAGCAACAACAAAAATGGCAAAAGAAACGACAGTGGTGCATTTGGACAATGTTGGGAACACTTTTGTCGTTGATGGTCGTGACATTGATATTTATACATGTAGTTTATTGTTAGACGGACTGAGGTTAATATGGAATGTGCCATAGGAGAAACTATTGTTATTACAGTTTTGTGACATTTTACTTGTATATTTATTATTAGGATTCCTCATAGGGGAATACTATTGTGTTTGGTAGTATTATAGTTATTAGGATTCCCCATAGGGGAATACTATTGTTTTTGGTAGTATTATAGTTATTGTACCACCAGCGTTAGCGCTGGCGGTACACATGGTTTCGGTCTCGTCCGGATCGTTCCGCCGGCTCCGCCGGCTCCGCCGGACGGCTACCGTTACCGCTTCTCCTCCTAGACGGTAAGGCCCCCCATACCCATCTCATGGATTTAGGTCACCTATAATCTCAACTCGTTCCACGTAAAATTTGGGCTTTGTCGGTATTGGGGTCTGGGTGTGGCACTCATTGCAATGCACCCTTGTCTAAAAATGGCAAAATTAAATGCTAATTATCTACCCTACGGAAGGAGTTATGGGAAAAATTTCTATAGACGGCTTTCCAAAAGTCATATGTGTAGATTTCAAATATACCCTTGGATTTGACCTTNCCCCCCCCCCCCAATTCGCACATGCTCTTTCAGAATATGGGGCTAAATTTAACCCATGACCTTCACATGACCTTGTAAGAGCATTTCCACACCTATTTTGCAGGGGAATCCTCCGCCACTGGCTTCAGCCAGTTGCAGTCTAGTTATTATTATTATTATTATTATTACTTTATGGTAACGCTCTGTGGCACTTAATTTTTAAAACGATTATATGGGTAAATTTTATTGGCAAAACAGAGTTACTTTAAGTTTCTCCAATGAATAGCATTTTTCTGTATTCACCATGTCCATGTTTTGACACCTTCAAAAAATCACAGCAGTATTTTATGAAACCGTGTAAGTTGAGAAGAACCCGTATTTCACTGAATATTATCAGCAAATTATCGCGAGGATTGTCATATAGCATGGACTTAAAAACGTAGGCCCTACTTTCCGCCGGCATTCATAAAGAAAAAGCGACCATCCGCCAAGTGCTGCCCTTTCCCGATGTTTGTATCAAACTCGTAGCTTATACTGGTAGGAGATCGGTTCCAATCCATCGTTGCATAGAACCCCATATTTAATGAAATCATTGCCGACGTTGTTCATGTGAATGTCAAGCGACAATGCCTTCTACGGTTGTAGGGAATCCAAGTCCAACAGCGCCAAGACCATTTTACAAAAGTTCGCAGAAACACCGGAAACCATCCAAAGTCCTTTCTGGTCGGCTGCGAAGTCCACCACATTGCCCCCGCCCCACGGGTATTCACACCTGGACTTGATAGCCCTTTCAGCGATCACCTGTAATTTAGACAGACTATACTGACCAAAAGCGCACGCTCTCATTTTAAATAGCGTCATACGTTGTATATTATAGAGGTCGTCCCTGTGGATGACGTTACCGTTACCGTTGAACGGCAGGGAATGTGTGACACTTGGCCCATTGCTCCGGAAATTCGCCAGTGTTTTGTATTCCACTATTCGTTCCCCACGTGTGTTCTGGAAGAACCAGATGGTGCTTACCGAGTTCGGTTTGACTGGGTCGGAGTCGTGTTTCCAAGAAGAAAGCTTACAGTAGACCTCCTAGCGTTGAGGTTAAAATACAAAGTGTAATAAAGGGAACCGGATATGACGTCGAGTGGTGAAAGGCGTGAAGCTGCCTGGTCATTTTCATCTGGAAGGACACGGGAGTGGAGTCGCGAGTGCTAAGCTGAAGCGGACTTACTAATAAGATATTTTTGTCTTTTGGCATTTTGAGCAGAGAATACTTGTAGACATATGGGGAATATGGCATAAAAACATGTCACGAAGCTTGAAGATAAAGTTGAAATAACAAAAACCAATATGTTACAAACTGAAGAAGGCAAGAGTTTTATTTTCCTACTTAATAATGTGAAGATAAACACGATTCAATCACATTTCACGGAATTACAACAGAAACATACCAGGGCGATCACCACGGAGTTAGCTACCATGGACACAAAGTCTTGAACCTCGAGGGTTTAAGCGGTGTTGCTGCATTCTTGCTGTGTACCACCTGCCTTGTACAGAGGCCTTGTAATCTAGTTGGAAAACCAAGATACCAGCAAACAACATTGTGCCTTTACTTGGCCAGACTCTCAAACCAAGCTGAATATCATTGAACCATTTCAGATAAACCACCCAGCTGTAATAATTAGTGTTGTAAATCAACCGTTTGCTCTAACATGAATAATATACAAAGCAGTGTTGCAAGTGATAGGTAACTATGGTAACTATCTCCATGGTTAACCGTTGAAAGACAGTGTACATGTTCACTAAAACACAACCACGGTACGTCCGTGCTTTAAGCAGGAACTGCAAACAGACTTTCTTAACCCATGCTTTAACCATTTCATTTTAAATGACAAGCACAATAATTTGGGCAATCAGGTTAAGGGAGTCTATAAATTTCTCTAGATAACTACTCGTTTACCCAATGACTTTTCTCCAACCACAGAGAACCGAGTGAATCTTGTTCGTGTCTGACACAAATGTACACTGGTGAAAAGAAAGAGAACCATAAAATAAACTCTGTATACCTCAATCTACATGAATTTACTGTTTACTTACAACATTTACAGTTTACTGTACAAAAGTGTTCAACACACACATCACTGATGTTACAGATTTATTCATATATACTGAGTGAGAGAGTGAGAGAGAGGGAAAGGTGGGGAGGCATGTATGATATAACATTATCCTTAATTTATGATGAACTCCACATGACTACTAGGAAGCCTTAGAACTCGGTAAAAACCAGGTGTTGGACTGTAAATGTGTTTCATGGTCCAAACTAGTTAATCTTGTGAAACCACTTTTTTCCTATATAAATGCTCTAACTTCTCAAACCATTTACCCAGCTCAAGATGACACTAACCCAAGTGACAGCTCAAGGGTTAATTAGGAGAAGCAATGGGCACTACTACTGCACTATTTCACACCACACACTTTGCCTTTACTGCTAAATAATGAAGATTATCAGCTGTTAAGTTATGAGAGTAATATTTAGCTGTAAGTCTCATGTTTGGGGCCATCTCTGTATGTGCTTTAAACTTTTGATATAGTATGTGCCCTAAAGGGTAAATAGCACCAGATGCATACTGAAGTGCATTATGGTTAACTTTCTCGTAAATGGACTAAAAATAGTTAAGTGTGTTCTTGGCTAGTCCACTCCAATGCAAAAATGTGAATTCACTAATGAATGAAGTGATTGAATGTGGAACTTTCCCATTGTTCTTTTTTTCTAAAATACAAGGGGTGGAAACCAAATGCTCTCAATTAAGTGGGATTTTGGGATGGGCCTCTCAAGCATAGGCTTGTTACTGTTAAAATCTTACTTAAACATAAATATAAAACAGCCTCTGTTTAAAAATGTATCCAAGTATAAATGACAAAGGTTAGATTGTGGTGTGGGCTATAATTTTGTCTACCTAAACCAGTGGATAAAGAAAAGAGGTAGGAAATACTAGAATAAAGCTTGTACCTAAAAAGGACATTAACCTGGTTATCAGAGCACTATTGCAGACTCTTGCCCTACTCAGCCCTTTCTTGGAGTAAGTTTTGGCAGACCTAAAGAAATAAAAACTGGTAAAGCAGAATCTCCAATAGAGCCTGAATCTCAGGGTATTTGACTGAAGATTTCAGGATATCAGTCCATGTGTACCACTGTCAATTAGACCCAAAACAGAAGTCCAGTTAAGGGTGTCGATGTACATAAATACAGAGCAGTCCACTACGCACATCACAAGACACAACGACGACAACGACAAACACAACCCACTGGACTTATACTACACTGTACTGTGCTTAGGTACTCGCCAGTGCATCTTTCAAAGAAGAAAAATGACATAACATAGCATGTATTTGTTACACGCAGTGGGGGGAAGTGTGGGGAAGAAGGGGTATGGGGGTTAAAACTGTAAAATAAAACCATTCTAAAATATACCTATAAAATCCCCTCACTGCCCTGCATTGGGGCACTTCTTTACAAAATATTAATTCAATATATAAATATCAGATTCCATAGGTTGTTGCCTTTCTTTCGTGTCAGCTGTAAATATAGAACCAGATCCTTGCCAAGCCTGATATGTGGTCTCACACTAGGGGTGATATGTTTGGAACAAACCAGAATAGAAACCAGGCTCATTTCTGTGACAAAACTATAAATTACAAACAACTTTTCATAGTCAGTCAAATGTGGCCATTGAGGTCCAAATGCCAACATTATCAGTCAGTCTTGTTGGTTTAGCAGTCATGCAGAGTGCTAATGTTTACTGGCAAGTAGTGATTCTCTCCTGTTGCCGAGTCTGAATCAGGGCTATCCTGCTTGACATCTAGCCTGGGTTTGTTACTGTCCCACTTGACATCTAGCCTGGGTTTGTTACTGTCCCGCTTGACATCTAGTCTAAGTTCTTTACTGTCCAACCTGACATCTAACCTAGGTTCTTTTCATCCCAGTGACTTCTGGCACCAGTTCAGGATTGTCCAACTTGACATCTGACATGGTTTCTTCACTGTAAAGTTTGACATTTTGTGTGGGTTCTATACAGCCAAGCCAGGGAAGTGAGGGGAAATTAAACTGTATAAGATGCTTCCAAGTTACCTGGAACAAATATTGGTAATATTAGCTGTGTTTGGTTTCTTTTTCTTTTTTTTTGACAAATACAGAGCTTTTCAATTTATATACTTAGCTAAGGCATATTACCTTGAAGACACTTTCAAATAATGAGGGTGCCGACAAAGATTACAGACTAAAGTAACAGATTTTAACACAATGATGAAGGGTTTTTGACTGCTGCCTTGACAGTGTTTCTGTGTGTGTGTGTGTGTGTGTGTGTGAGAGAGAGAGAGAGAGAGAGAGAGAGAGAGAGAGAGAGAGGTCACTACGTATACCTAGATGAAGTATCTTGACTACTGTCTTGAGAGGTGTTAGGGGAGGGACTAGCACTGTCCTGAGAGCTTTGTTTTGCCCAGGCTTTCTGTTGTACTCTTTGGCTTGAATTTGATGGTTGTTGTGGGGGCTGTTGCTGTATAGACATACCTGGCATGGTGGGATACCTGAATGTGAAAAGTATTCCAGATAGTTAACATAAGATATATATTAAGAATATTCTGTTTATGGGCTTTCTATCTCTTTAATGCATTGGTCACATCTATAAACAATATGATAAAGTCAATATATGTAAAGATATGTGTCTATCACACCGCTAAAAAGTTTCAGCTTTTTAGTGAAGTATGTGGCTACCAAATGACCACACGCAGAGGCTTTCAAAAATAATTTTTCCTAGTGACCAACAAAGTCAATCCAGTGGTGAGGAGACCCTCCTTACCTGGGTCTTACTGCATACATCTGTGGAACAGGGCATCGGAACACTTGCTGCAGCTGAGCACCGCCCATCCTCCCGTCTCCATTGCCAGGTGGAGGGGGTCTGAATGGCTGTTGGATCAGCTGAGGTGGGGGTGGTGGCCCCATTTGCACAGGAGTACTATGACCACTGAGACTTGGTGAGCTGGAGGAGTCTCCGATCTTCTCGCCACCAAGGTACAACTCTGTTGGCTTGGCAGGTTTCAGCCCCTGTTCTACGGATAGTATTTTGAACTGGCCTGTCACGGAGGGGGTGCCGTGAGGAAAGGAGCCAACAGGACCCCCACACACTGCCCCCTGCTGGACAGCAGGTATGTTAATAGCTGGGCGTAGCACTGCAATGTTCTGAGAGGGGGATGTCTGAAATGGCACAAACTGTCCAGGCCCCGGGGGCCGAGGGTGACCCTGGGTCCCATGGGGTGATGTCCCTGGGGGGTAACCGATGTAAGACCCAGGGTTCACCCCCCCAGGACCAACACCCACAGTCTGTCCAGGTGGAGCCATCCCCTGACTTGGGGGAGTGGTAGGTCTATATAGTCCGGCCATGCCTCCTACACTGTGGTAGGACATGGCAGGCGTGCTAGTGTTCGTTGTACTTGAAGTATTGTAACTGCCAGCTGCTGCAGTCATTGATGTCTGGACAGTTTGCACGTACCCCCCTTGGTTCAGACCCCCGGCCGAGGGGGGAGGTGGAAACTGCTGAGCAAATCCTCCTTGGCAACAAGTCTCCGAGTACTGCTGACCTTGAACTCCCTGACCTTGACCTTGTGATTGTACAACCTGCTGATGCTGATAATTAGTCTGTTGCTGTAGATGTTCATTAGAAGTACTTTGTGCTACTGAATATCCTACTATTTGATAGTTTGGCATGTAAGTCTGACTAGAGTATTGACTGCTGCTGGGTGGCACCATTCCTAAATGACCTTGACCCTGTGTTTGGCCTTCAAATGACCCCTGATGACCCTGTGCAGCATACGCCATACGGTACATGTACTGTGGCTGAGAGCCAGGGGGCTGGTAATATGAGACCTAGAACACAACACACAATATGTAGACATGGCAATAACTAACAAATAAATTTCATCAATCAGCTAATTGAATTACCAAACTCCAAAGCAAAAAATAAAAAAAATAAAAAAAAAATAAATAAAAAAAATAAATAATAATTTAGTCATCACCCATTTTTTGTTATACTATGAACCTCTGAATATGGTAATCTTTAATTTTGATAGCAAAATTTCAAGCAGTCAATGATCTCAATAGGAAATCCAAATTCAAAAACATGGTCATGCACACACACACACACACACACACACACACACACACACACACACCTTACCTGAAAGGGTCCAGTGTTGTTCACAGGTCCTCCATGCTGTGGGGGAGCTATCACATACTGCTGTGGGGGGTTGGAGGCACCTCCTCCACATGGGGGTTCAGGGAGAGACCCTGAAGACTGCGATGACAATGAGAGACCAGAGAAAGTATGGGCTACATCACCACCACTCTCCTGGAGGAGACAAACACTGGTTAGCTATAACCTACAGATGTGTGATTTCATTGCCTTAGAAAAGATAAATAATTAAATACTTTGATGAAGAGATTCAGTGAAGTTTTTGACCCTTCAACCCCCCCCCCTCACACACACACACAAAAAAAAAAAAAAAAAAAAAAAAATAACTCAACAAACGTAATACAGAAAGAGGCTATGATATATCTAATGGTAAAACTGGTGATTTTTTGTACTCATATTAATATACATATTATGTATTTTATTTATATATATATTTACGGTACTGTCACAGAAATAAATCTATTTTAAATAAAATACTCGAATTGCCAAGTGTTCGTGTAACTAATATTTCCTACGATTAACCAACCATCCCAAAGGAAACAAGTCTTTTTAAAACAGAAAAGACTATTTAAAATGTTCCCACGGCAAAACCGTGTCGCTTGTAAAGTATTATTGAGNATCACAAAACATACCATGTGAAACAAAAGATGTATAAAGGAAAACAGTTTATGATTCTTATTAGTGCAAGTGTAATTTAAACAATAGCACCAAACAGATAACTATCTCTTCTGTGACTTTTTCTTAATTGCTATCTATATGCTATTTCTTTATTGGTCAAAACATTTGTGCACACATTTACTGACAATATTAAAATCAAGAACCAAGCAATACGCATCATCAGCTGCTTTGTGAACAACTTTGAATAATGCTATTCAAAACAACGACCATAACCTTTTTCATAAGTGAGCAATTCACAACTGTTACAATAAAATCATATAAAATCCCCAAGTCAAACCACAAACTTACTCCTGAATATTGCCTCTGGAGACTACTGGGGGGTTGGTGGAACACCACATTCCCTGGGGGTCCCTGCACTCCCCCTGGGGGTGGAAACTGATGGGGTAATGCCCCGTGTAATGGTTGTTGTATTACAGGAGCCTGTGGCTGGTGAGTACTGTGGATTGCTGGGGGCAGAGGTTGTCCTGGCTGGTGGCAGTAGATAGAGCCGTCAGGATTGCGGTAAGGAGCACCTGGCATGTGATCAATAATGATATATATATATGTGTGTGTGTGTGCTTTTTTTTATTCATCCAGCTAACATTTTTTATAATCAAGGAAAGAAAAAAAAAAAGAGAAGAAAATCACATCACATATTGGATAGTTACACAGGTGGTGTCAGTTCCATTTTGTCTACCTCCCATACTTCTTCAGGTAACTATTGTCACTTGTTATGTTTTAGACACAACAGAATGTCCACCAGGTAAGTGAGAAAGAAAGAGAAAAATGTTGGAAGTCATAACCCCTTTTAGTTATTGTCCAGAACGAAACTTAATTTTCCATTCCTTAGCTAATTAATATGGAGTTTTCTACTTAAATAGTTGACATAATCAAGTTATAAGAATTGTAGAACACGTCATCACATGCATATCTGTTACTTAAAATTCAACTGCACTATAAGAGAGAGAGAGAGAGAGAGAGAGAGAGAGAGAGAGAGAGAGAGAGAGAGAGAGAGAGAGAGAGGTTCACTCACCAGTCTGAGGGTCAATGATGGTCGCCCCAGGGGGTATGGAGTCGGGTGTGGAGGCCACCCAGCACACCTGTCCCTGGGGAACCTGGGGAGGCCCTGGACCACCTACACAGGTAATACACATAACACTGTTATAACTGGGAATTTAGAATATTGCTTTACAATTGCAAATGCTGTGTGTTTGGGTGTGCATGTGAGATGAGGGAGAGAGAGAGAGAGAAGAATTGGATTTTCAAGGTTATGATAATAAATTCTAATTGAACTGTCACTATGGAAAACAGTAATTTTAACAATGTATATTTGTCCTCAAAAGCTTATTTAAACTAAATATTGTATTGGAAATGTCCCTTTGGTGGCCTTAAGATGATGAAAATGGTGTCAGATGATTAACAATTTAAACAATGTCACACATACATGTTTATCTTCCATAAAAAAATGTAAAAGTAAGAACAGCTAAGTCCACTGACCTGTTGACTGACTAGAATATGGCCTGTCTGCGTCCCCTGGTGGAGGGGATGATGGGATAGGTGGTGGACGCGAGATGGGACTACTTAAACTGCTGGAGTTACTACTACTCACTGAATCTGGAAAGTAAACATTGTTAGTATTTAGCAAACAGTTTAAACTAATATAAATAATTATAACACAAAGCACATTAATTACATTTTCCCCCACATGTCAGAATAATATGCAAGAGAAAATACAGAACAAGAAATCTTTATAGCTGATATTTTCCAAAGTCACACACACACACACACACACACACAAAACTCCACTAACTGCTGAATTTATCCTCAATAACTTAATATACATATAACCTACACGCACGTATGTACACACATATATGTGCTAATACTTCAATAAAGGAAACCACTTATACCTTCTGTTGAATTCTCCCTTTCATCTTCAAGTGACTATGACCAGTTTGCTCTATGGAGTGATATAAGAGCTCCAAGCACCCCCTATTTTCCCCTTTATTCTCCCCATAGTCAAGTCATCCCAATGCTATTATTCTCAACTCTCTCTCCTCGTGTTCTCTCACTAGAGAACAAAGAAGACGGTCACAACTGGTTATATTTATAATATAATCCAGGACCTTCCCCACGGAAATATAAATAACTCTACTCCACACGTCCTTCAATTACGATATCATGTAAATGTCTTGTTAAGTTTCAATATTTCAGTCTTCAAGAGTTGTAGAACTATTGTATAACACATTAAAAAAAAAAAAAAAAAAAAAAAAAAAAAACTTTGAACACCCCAGCACCTCCCCCTGCATCAAGTCCAGCAATAAGTGCTGGACCATATTATGTGCTTTCTCAAGAAATCAGCATTTTAAATAAATAAATAAATAAATAAATAAATAAATAAAATCTCCCAACCACCCAGCCTGTGTCCCTCCATTAATGTCCCTCTCTACCTGTCTGTGTCATCCTGGCTCCCCTGCCATCCCCCCGTGACAGTATGGTGGGCACTCCACTGAAGCTGCTGGCCTTGGTGACTGCCAGCCTGTGACCCTCCTTGGACGTGTCCGTGCCGTAGCCACTGGAGTCTGTGCTGCTCCAGGGACGCGGGTCAGTCTGCCAGTCCTCCTTACTGCTGCGGACACTGGAAAAGCGAGTACCTGCTCGACTGCTGTGGTCACAAAATACAGGGGGGTTCATAAATATCATGCTTTTTAATCAGTTACAGTTGATGAAACAAAATATACATCATGTGAAATTTTAACATTCATTATGGTTTTTATTAATCATGACAAAGGGAAAATAAATTAAAAGAAAAAATGAACCAGTAACCTTAAATATGCATGGTGAGGTACTACAGGTTCATAAAATATCAAACAGATAAATCAGTTTAATCTGATGAACTGAACAATCAACATTTACATAATAATTTCTCCTTTTTAAACTAGACACTCTTTCACAACTCTGTTGCATACTTTTTAATAAGGAACTAAAAAGGCAACAGCTGTGTACATACCTTACAGGAGAATCTAGAATAGCTTCTTGTGATGACATAGACTGAAAATAAACCAATATGCATGGATGGTTGGACCATAGGTTTATGTGGTCAAAATCCACAAAATGTGTTATCTGACAATGAATCATCGACACACACACACCCACACACACAACAAAAAATAATGACAAATGATTTTAAACCATTATTATAACCATATAATCACCTTGAGGTGCAGAATTTCTAATGCAAATCCTCTATAATCATAAAGCATCTCTTTTATTTTAAATCTGACATAATTTTTGTAAATGCTTACATCAGACTGATTGAAAATTCTAGCTTTTGTTTTCTTGTAGTGTTCTTCCCTCTCTTCATATGACTTGCTCTTCTTGTCAGCTAGGGATCTGCGGTGAGGACTATTGCCCTAAAACACAAGACAGAATTTAAGTTAGGAAATTGACAACTGATTTAGAAAAAAGAACTGTCAATTAGAAAAATATCTGATTAAATAATCATTATGTCAGGATGAAAGGGATCGGTCTGCTTCCTACCTCTTCAAAACTGCCTCCTTCCCGTCTGAGAATTCTCCGTGTGGGGGTCTCTTCTTGAGATGAATGATCTAGGATGTGCTCTCGAAATTTAAAATCTGGCCTGACATTTCAAAGAAAAAAAAAAGTGTGAATAACTCACTACAAAAGCCCTATGAGTAATATAATATGAAAACTACTTAATCTTTCTGGAATAAAAAAATTATGAATAACTTGCAATAAAAATATAAAATTTTAAACGAAAAACCCTATGAATAACTCACTGTAAAAAACTTTTTTAAGTTACCAGTTTAAGTTTTAAAACATTGGTAAGAAGTTGCGCTAGCTTTAAGCAACCTTTCTTTGATGTTACCATCAGTTTCAGGCAACAGCATAAACATCACAGCCAACATTAAAACCCCAAGTTCCATCATTTCTGTCTATTATCACAATTTTTAAAAATTCTGTACTATTTCTCAACTGAACAAGAAAAAACAATGTTCCAACTTACAATCTGGTAATACTAGTTTTATTGACAATCACTACGTTGGGGTTGATCTTCTGGTCCACGTTGTGGTCCAGCCCAAAAAATGCTGCGATTCGATGTACTAACATCCTCTGGTACCCTGGGAGTGCGGGGAACTTGAGATACTGGTGTCTGAAACAAAGTAAGGTCTCTACATGTAGTAAGATATACTAACATTTCCTAGTACGCATGTGAGTGCAGGAAACTTGAATCTTTTTCTCTCAGTATTTTTCTACATGCCTACCTCTGACTGCATTTCACCAGCCATGTGAAAACTAATGATTCAACCATTACACCATTAAACTGCATCATTTATTCCAAGCCTTATTTTGATAAATCACAAACATATTTTTCCCCTCTTACCTTTGATCTTTAACAAAACTAATGAGATCCTGCTCAATCTTCAGCATCAGTCTCCTGTCCTGGGGGTTCTTATTGTTCAACGTCAGCCTGAAGAACTCCTCCAGGTCTGTGCCAGCAAAGTCTGTGTACTGTGTCTCTGTGCTTGACTCTAGAACAGAGGAAAAGGGACACCTTAATTAACACAATGCCAGCCCTACCTGTTATCAATATTTTGATCATCAAAGTCCCTTGGACTGGGTTCCCATACCTAGATTGATCTAACAGGATCGATCAGGGGTTTCTCGCTAAATTGCTTTCAGTTTAGATGTCTGGCACGCCTACTGAAGCTGCTAAAGGATAACTAATTACCCCCTAGCAACTTCAGTAGGAGTGACAGACAGCTAAGCTGCTTAGGTTGATTGCAATTTAGCGAGAATCTCTTCAAAGATAGATATATCCATAGTTAGTAAGATATTGTCTGGGAATGGTCCCTTACTGTTACTATATGCAAATCGTAAGTTAGGTCACCCAATGATATCACCCAAATAAGGAGAAATCTTGGACTTTGTGTATCATTCTGCTCTTCAAATCAAACTACCCTATACTTCAAGATGTATGTCATTAGGATAATTTTTCGGCGTCTTTAGATTTTGATTTAAATTTGGACCAGTCACTTTTTAAGGTATAAAATAGTCAGAATGATGGAGTGAGTTTTTAGGCACAGAATGAAGACACAGTGATCACCTTACCTCTAGACAAACAGGGTGAGGTACCAGCCTCAAATGAACTACTCTGAGAGCTACTCTTGTCTAATCTGGGACGAGACACTTTTTGCTGAAAAGAGAAAAAGAAAATAAATTAACTTCAAATATGATAGGATATATATATATATATATAACATGACAGATAATATTATAAGTGAATTCCTGCCTTTGTGCTCGTAAATGTAGGAATACATGTGCGTGTATGTGTACACATGCATGTACACAAACACATCTCCTCAGGAAGGTGAGAACATCTAAATCCAATCTGAATCAGAGAGTTAATAAAATTTCAACAATATTGCAATCTAATGTAAACCACACTGAAGCACACTTGAAGCGTAACCTACAAACACACAACATCTTTTATTTTCTCTATGTTTTCTATATGTCTACTAACCCTAGATGACCTTTGGCCATTTAATGACCCACTACTATTAGCTGCAAATGTAGCCGTGGCTGTAGCTGTTGCCATGGAGACATCGTTAGGAATTGAGCTGCTGACAGAGACCGCGGCAGCAGTAGCTGGAGCCACGGTGATGTCATCAGGCGGCGGCGGGGTGCTATCGTCACTTATTGCATCGCCTCGGACTAGGAGCTTTAACTTAGCTCTTTGCTGGAAAATACATGTCAGCTACTTATAATATTGTTTCTTTCTACATGACATGTGTCAAAAATAGTCTTTGGAGTAAACTGTTTATGAATTACCATTCAAGCCAAATTCAAAGGTTTTTTTTTTTAAATTTAATCAGGCTTACATCAACTGCCGCATACATCTTAGTGCCAAATACCTGAAAACTGTTGGATTTTTCTAGTTCCTTTCCCCCATTTTTCTGGGTACTTGAAGATTCCGTGGCAGATTCAGATGCGACCTCAACATCCTCCGAGCCACCGGTCTGGTCGGGGGAACTGTCTGACGAGTTGTGATTGGACATTTCGCTCTCTGCAACAATTGTTGCATCTGATGTCTCACTACTGGGCGATGTGTCGTGTGCCTCGTCGTCGTGCACGTCCACCTCATTCTGCTTAGAGAGTCTGGACTTGCTACTGCGACGTTCCAGCTTTTCTTTACCAGACATCACTTATTCTGAAAAAACAGAAAAGACAAAACTTCAGAGGTAAGGGTTGATTTATGTTAAAAAAAAGCAGACTTGTCAGCCCCAACTCCCACCTAAAGAAAGAGAAGAAAAAGTAGCAGGTGAAAGTTCTTAAACTAACAAATAAACTGATGTTTGATATGTAATTCAAGCCCTTCTGACCTAAAATACAATATCACTGTTCTTCAACCTCTACTAATAAAAATATATGTATAAAGTAAAGAAACTGTCGTGAAAATGTTAAATTACATGTCAAATTATTTGGCTTCACCTGTCTTCTCTTAATGCAAATGCACTGGTTAAGAGGGAACCTTACCCATGAGAATATGCCATTATTACAGTACCTATTGTCTTTTTGCTCAACAAGTACACCTTAAAAGGTGACCACTCATCTAACACTTGAGCCCAACTGCCTTTATCTGTTCTTTCAAATACCTCCTATAAGTACATACTTGAGTGACATGAAAGTAAAAATCCTGGAAACGCTGAGCTCACCATGAGCCATGTGCTAACATGGTAATTCAATCAAGCTCTGTCTTGTGTGGATAGAAAATTGTATTGGACGCACAGTAGTCTGTTCAGGTCACAGTACACCATTACACTTGGGACATGAAGTATTGATCAGAGAGGAATGACAATTTCTGTTTTCCAGAACTCCCCTTTTAAGAAGGATAGAAATGTTTGCTAGTTGTTAGGACTTTTTATTTTTTTATAAACCCCCCTTTAAAATATTGTATCTAATGGTCGCTGATAGTTAGGACTTCTACTTTCTTTAAATCCCCTTCAAAAATGATATCAAATGTTTGCTGGTAGATAGGATTTCTATTTCTAACACTCCCATTCAAAGAATGATAGAAAAGTTTTCTGGAAGAAAGGACTTTTGTGTTCTAGACTTTCCCTTTAAAGAAGGATATAATTATTTGACCCTGGATAATTCTGTAGTTTTCCACTAAATAAGAATGTTTGCCATGTTTCACAATACAAATAAAATAGTCATGTTTCACAAGACTCAACAGATTTATCCTGCCATAAAAGTAGGCTATTACCCTAATTTTTTTATCTTTAGTAATTAGAATGTAACTTTACTGACAGTCAGTGAAAACGCATCAGCAAACTTTCTTGTACTTTTTTTACCAAGAATCGATTCCAACCATATAAACGGATATATAAAAATAAAAAAATATATAAACAATAAAAAATGTGTGACTGAATAATGGGTCATATTTCACACGAAAACTGTTATTTACTTAATCTGCCAAAGGAACTTAAAATATTATTTGATAAATAAATGATGCATTTTCATTGACTGTCAGTGTATATTTTGGGTTGTATTACTTTGTGAAACAGGGCGCAGTTCCATCACCAGTGAGTACACCAGCACCAAATACCACAACCACACAAAACAGCTTACTAGTATCCCATTACAACAGCAAGGAGATAGAGAGAAAAAAGTATGTCTTGTTTAACTTCCACCTCACTTGAATAATAACATACCAAAACAGTCTGAAAGCTGTCATCTAACAAACTGATTTCTTAACAGGGGGAGTGAAAATGTAATCTTTTGAAATTTTTTACATGTTCTAGCCTTATGCTGATGCAAACTGGGCCATTTCCGGTCTTACATAGGTTTAATGTGAACATGACTTAACATTACCGAGCATTATGTATGGTACTCGTAGCAGCCAGCACTGGGAAGGGAGAGAAATATCTAGGTTGACATTGATCTCTTATAGCAGACCCTCCCTTCAACACAGTGGGATGCAAGCTAGCATAACCTTTCCTGCACACTTCCATGCATAGGAGAAGGCATGGAGAAGAGAAACGCCGTACAGACACTGACTACACTTCATGCAATCTTCTTATGGAAGCGTGCAGTGAAGCCTGGGCATGCGGCCAATTATTATATTATTCATGTTCTGGGCCCTGCAAAATTTGTCATGAATTATGAGACTCAAGTTAAGGAAAACATGACATTTTTATATCGTACCAATTTTTCTGCTATTCTTCTACCTCAACTACCTTCTGAAGAAAGAAATACTTATCTACTTGCTTTGCAACATTTACAACATAATTTTTTATTCAGTTCAGTTATAAACTGATTCATAAGACATTTTCATAAACAGAAGAACAAAATGACTTAAAATCATGTTACAGGAAAATAAATGTCACATTTATATATATGTAACAAATATGCGCTCTTGGATAACTGTATACCAAATTAAAAATTCTCCAAAAGACCAAGACTACTCAAAACAGTGTAAACCACAATAAGAATAAAGCAAACCTTAACTGAACCCTTACTGCTTAACTGACTTCTCAAATCTCTTCAAGAATCGCGTTCAATTATATATGTCCAATTACTGAGGAGGGAGGGCATCCTGGACAGCATGCTGCACATCTCAAGCATACCACACACTCGTCGTACAGTTAACATGATGCTATCATACCCAAGATGCTGATTCAGGAGCTAATTTTACTGCTCACCTTTAAGATTAAATGCAGAGATTGTACTTCATGCAAGACATGGTATTGCATACACACCTTACCACAGTTACACAGCACATAACTACCATGGAATGACGATATTGAAATGGATTTTTTTGCAACCTCTTGAAATTTCCGTGACAAAATATGAGCTGAACATTTTCTTTGTTTACTAATCGCAGAGATGAAATTTGTGTATCCTGATGAGTTAGGGTTGCCTGTCTACCTAAGCACTTGTCCATCAAAACAGCTACCATGAAAAAAAACAAACAAACAAACAAAAAAAAAAAAACAGTAGACATGTCTCAACCAAATACTATACATGCGAGGAAAACTGAGTTACATGGAACTCGGCTAACTTTCTAGACTACAACAGGAAAAGGTTCTTATTTAATCATGGTTTTATATGGTAACCCTGCATTGAAAGTTGAATAAAATATTCCATCATGCATATTGCATTAAGCTGAAGAAAGTAGGTGGTGGGGAAAATATATTTAATATGGCAAATTCTCCCTCAAAAGTAATAACCTGTAAAAGCTTATTATCTACAGATAACCATAAAATAGTGAAATCAAAGCAATTATTTGCATGGCATTCAGCAACTAGTGTCTAACTATAATGAGTATCTCGCCAGTCTCCATGTTTATTGATACAAAAGTAACACTGTAAATGTAATATCAGGATCTTTAAAAGAACTGATACACTTCAGCCTTTACCATAGAAACAGAATTTTTATTTCCAATTTGTTCTTTTTTTAGAGGTTTTTAAATTATCAACTTAAAGCTGACAAGTAAATATGTTTTCATGGTTCAAACCGATTTTTTAATTTGTTGGGACATAATTCAGTGCACAACAAAGAGGTGATTGCAATGTTACATGAGTGGTTTATGGGTGTAGTGACACAGGGGCTGATATTACAAGTACCTAGCCCATATATAAACTACACAGCTAAGTTAGCAAATATATACAGACAGCATACACAGTAAATAAAGCCATTCATTGAATATACAGTAAAATAATAAAAGTTGGGCACTTGCGTGGCACACATTGGCAAAAATACATGCAGTGAAAACTTTCAAATAAATAATTCAATCATGCTGGTTTCCAAAAGGTATAAACACCCCTTTAAATAGCCATGCACTCAGCAAATCTGAACTAAAACAAAAATACTTTTAGGCAATTATAGGTGGAGCAATGAATTTTCAGATGCCGAGAGTGACAAAACAGACATCAGAACATAAACACATACAGTGTCTGCTATAAAAATGTTACTGTCAACATCATTAGCAGCAGGTTAATAGTCCAATTACCATTCATCTAATCAAATGGAATAAAACTGGCCTGGATCATCAAAAATAAAGAATGGGGCATAGAAATCTTCGTATCTGGCCAATAATCCCCTGTATTTAAAGATATGTGACACTTACAAAACATGTGAAAAAATGTATCACTCCAAACTGGAACAAAACCAAACGCATTTACACTTAATCACACTATGGGATAAAAAAGCTCCAAAATATTTTTCAAGATCCAAAATACAACTGCCTGAAACCCTTAAGTTGTTAGCAGAGATTGCAGCTAAATTTCTGTATGCTCCAAATTCAGCAAGTCTGTACCTACAGGTGCCACGACTCTTTCTACCAGGAATTGTAAGGTGCTGAATGCAGGATTGCTTTTACTTGTCTTTATATTTAGGCTGATATCTTAGGAGGCATGTACTTGGACTTGAACTTGCCTCTCTCTTACACAAAAGCCAGTTCACATATAACAATTATATGCATATGAACCTGAGACTTCGAATTCTTTTGGTTTTCGTTATGTCATATTCACAAAATTAAATAGCAAACTTGGATTTGAAAGAACTGAAAATTTTCAAGGAGGCTATCGATTAAAAATCTATTGTTTTGCAACTAATCTAAACATTGACAGCAGTACTCAATTCAAGCATATGCTGGCTTCATCCCTGACTGCATCTGTACAAGTAATGATAACTATTTAATAGTAATCAAAAAACTGCATAATGGGAAAAATAAAAGCCACATCCCATATTGTCAGCAATTAAAATACAAGCATGATTCTAAAGGAAAAAAGCAGTATTACGAGTAAAAACAATCACAATTCTTTGACTGCATTCATGCAAAATCATTATGCAGAAGTAAAAATATATATAGCCTTAATTCAAACAAAAGTCAAAGAGACTCCAACTAGATTCTGTCAACTATCATAACTCTGACCTGCATTGCTAGCCCACAGAATGAACAAGCTGATTAAGAGAGATCCTCTGGCAGCGTGAAAGTCTCGGCACCAAATCCTTGTAGTCTTTTAGAACATGACTGAGACGAATTACCTCCCTTATGTGAGCAGTCACTGTCTTAGTGTCGATCATCTGGAGATTGAAATAAGTGCCACTTGTCTGGTTGCGGTGGAAACAGCAAAACTATCACAGCTAAATGATCCCTCTCCAGTCAAGATACCCAGTATGTATGCCTTCTTCTTCTATTAATCCTAGGATGTTATCACTACAATAATTCCTGAGGTGCACCTTTGAAAAGGATATTATGAATTAGCTACCACAGAAAATTGCTATTGTACGTGTAAGCTGCACTTGGCAAAAATCTTAATACCAGGTCATTTTCGAGAAGTTTGCCAAATATATATTTATATATGCAACAGAACAGCTAGGTTCAGACAGACCACTGTTCACCAGGTTTTCTTAGAACCAAAACCATAATCCAAGAAATAAACATACAGGTGGACCAGAACTATATTGGAATAGCAAAAATAAACTCCACAAATTCCTAAGAAGATGAAGACACTTTGCACCCAGTGCCACAAGCTCAATCTACGAAAGGCCTAGCTGTTCCTGAGTTACCACATCCAGAAGAATTCTTGCCCCAGAGCAAATATGTATAACTGCTGGATTTTTTTGATTGCAATTACCCAGCGTTCCCTCTTTTTCTTTCAAACAGCCAACAGACGCACAGGTTGGTGGTAGGACATCTTTCACCACCAGGACAGTGGTAGATATCATACACTGAAGTGGTGTAAGGAGAAAAAAGAAATAAGTGTTTTTATCAGTCACTGCAATAATACAGGTGAAATGAGCTTGAGTTCTAAACTGCGAAAAAAAAATCTGATGAAGGTAAAGAAATCTGAGGCAGGGAAGAATATTAACAACTTTTAGTGTATTAGGGACCATTCCCAGACCCTATCATACTAACTGGGGATATATGTATCTCCAAGGGAATTCTCACTAAATTGCAATCAACTAAAGTGGCTAAGATGTCTGTCACGCCTACTGAAACTGATAGGGGGTAATTAATTATCATTTTGCAGCTTCAGTAGGCATACCAGACATCTAAGCCGCTTAAGCAGAAAGCAATTTACAAGAAACCCCTTGGAAGATGGATCGATCCTGTTAGATCGATCTAGGTATGGAAACCCAGTTTACATATGTATATCAATAGCTACTGTGAGACACTTGATCTAAATACACCACTGTCCTGTACATCCCTTAATCCTTGGCAACAACACTTTATGGCTGCTACAAATCGTGTTCATCACCACTGACCTGCTCCCTGAACATAAACCCAGTTCAATCAACAATGAGACGCAAAGAAGGAAGTAAGGTATAGGTTCTTGCAATTTAACTCACAGAAGAAAGACAAATGTCTATATAATGTCAATACAATAACAAGGTGTAGAGGGAAATAATATCCGTGTAATACCATCACTCACTGCCCACTCAACCACTGATTACAGATCACTGAATCACAGTTTCCTGACAACCTCCACCCACATCTGACCATTAGACCCTGTCTGAAGTAAACTAAACACCTGGGGCTGGCTTTGCTATAGAACTCAAGCCTCAGAATGGGGGCATCTCAATAGTCCGAAGGTTCACTGGTCCAGATTCACTGGTCCAGGTTCACTGGTCCGAAAAATGGTAACATTTTCATCAGTTTTTTAATCGAGGGTTCACTGGTCCAAAGGTTCTATAGTGAACATTTGGACCAATGAACTTTCGCACTATTGCTATGCACCCCCCCCCCCCCTTAGAATTGGTCTATACCTTTAGACCAAACATTTTAGCCAACTTTGACCCAAGATAAATCAGCGGTTATACCAACAGAATAAAATACCGTGTTTGATTTTTTAACAAGAAATACATAGCTGATACTTCAGACCATTTTTTTTCATCCAAATGAACTGCTACACATTTCTTCTCACTAACTCAAGCAGACCAATTTTCTGCATATTAAAGTTCAGACCAATAATCACCAGATTTTAGTGGCATATTGCAAATTTATTCTGAAGCGAGTTTTGGTCTAAATTTTTCTGTCTTAAGTTCCTTTCTGAAATAGGCCCCTGTGTGCACCCCTCTCCTTCTTGAGGGGTTTGGGAGGGCATAGAGGGACAGAGGAGGGCGTTTCCTGAAGTTAAACCACTTTTGTAAAAATCAATAGCAATATGGTAGTGGATACATCTTTTCTGAAAGTCTGAAAAATATGAAAGATTACTAAAGGCAGACAGGATGTTATGAAAATGCTTGCAATCAATAAAAAATCAAATGTAAGCTTATTCTCTATTACTAAAACTAAGACCTATGTCAATTTTATCAGACAAACTTGCTCAGTAAGTCAAACTGAAAAGTTACCACATTTTTCATCCATTTATAATAACTGTGCAGTCTTTTACTCTAAAGAACTATTTATTAGGACATATTCAGAACAGTTCACCAATTACTGTCTCAATTTTGATCTCAAGTAAAAAGTAAAAATTTGATTGCAATTCCCTTGTCAGTACATCACTGACTATGTGGGATTCTTTGGCAAGGGATTTGCAATCGAGTGTCTGCTTCCAGAAAAAAAAAAGTTGTCATTTTAAAGCTGGTGTAAATGCAGCCTCAGAGAGAACAAACGGGAAACAGGCAACTTTTCCCACACACCAAGAAAACTGTCACAAATGAGACAATGTAACAAATTGGTCAAAGGCTTTCAAGTTGTAAATCATGTTTCTTTTGTCTATGTCTATCAGGCAATTGAGTTTTCAGTGTTTGATGCAAATCTGCTGTAAACTTGAATGCTTCAGGTAGGAAAGCCCCCTTGACAACCATACATTTCAAGTACAAAGAGTGAATATAGAACAATAATTTTTAAAATGGACTGTCACTAATGACAAAGCAAAATTTCTTTTTTTCCTTCCTAATTGTGATCTTTGTTTTTTTTTTTTTTAATATATATTTGCACACTTTTTACCCATGTCAACAGCATTAAAAGCCAATCAATACTAACCATGCTCCCCAATATTTTTAATATGTAAAATTCAGCCTTTATCAGTCAAAAATTGAAATTGCCATTTTCTTCATATTTTTTTTCCTTTCTGAAAGTCAAAATTTTGATATATATATTTTTAAAAATTTAATACGTCTATTATGTCGCCTAATAATCATTCCAAATCTTACACACTTATGAGCTATCCCCAAAAAACCACCTCTGTCTAACTTGGGAAGATTGTTTGATTTCTTGGGTGTGAGATGCACTCCATTAAAACAAGGTGGTAATTGAGTGATATTGCCCAAACCTTAAAGATTTCATTTTTAAGATGGATCTGCAGGAACATCAATAATCACTTTTTTTCACCTTTTTAACACGCCTAAAATCAACAAAAAATTTCCCTAGACATTTGGAAGGTGCCAGTTAATTTGCTAAAAGATCAGAAATGTAACCATTAAGTCAATAACTTGTCACAACCATTAGATATTTTCAACAAGTTCATCAAAATAAAGAAAGTGTCCAAAACTCTGGCACCAATAAGGCACCTTTGCGGTTAATGACAAATTTTGGTCGAATCTATTTAGTCTACTAAAGATAGTTATCACATCATAATTTTAAACAAACAATGCTAATCAAAGAACTCCTTACTATAATAATATCATACAAAATAACCATGTTTTGATAGACCCCCCCCCCCCCCCCCCCCGTCCCGCCCCTATAACTTACCAGTGACAGAGTGTCTGGCCCATCAGTATGCTAACATGTTCAGGTGTGGTGACAGTGTTCTGGGGCTCCTGGGGGGAGAAAATCTCTAAGCTTCTGCCTGGAAAGAGAGAGGGTTAAATGCCTTAAGATCTCCAAAGCAGATACTGGTTACTGCCCACCTAACCTTATTAGCAGGCAATGATAAGGTTTTTCTACTGTCTAAAAATAAACACAAATACATCAACAGTGTTGAACAGAAACTTTTTTGGGAGAACTGAAATAATAGCAAAACCTGATGAACAGGACACGATAAATGGTTGAGAACACTATCATAAAGCAATTGATACTCTTTTTCTTTTATATACTTATAGGTGAATCAAATCTTGCTACAACTTAAATCACAGATTTTTTTTTTCTTTTGGGGGGGGGGGGGGGCCAGCCTCATGCAGCCACCAGAGCCTCACAATTGTAAGGACACCAAGTCTAGTTTTTCCTGCAACCTGAGTCATGTCTAAAATCAGTAATAAACTGATAACTAAAGAATTCTGTCCAGTGCTTAAAACATTAACATTGGTTGGTATTAATGTCTATCTAAAGGCTGCTCCCCTCTCTAGGACATATTCCATTTTACTAAAGAAAAAAAACCCTGAAGCACTTGCCATGCTATTGATCCATTCAAATCCTTCTACTGTATCACATTCAACCCAGAGAAGTCAAAGCACAATCAAACATATTTATATTCCCATTGATTTACATGACAGTGAAAAATATTAAGTATGGTTTAATCCCACTGGTTAGTCTGATATATCGTATACTTTAATTTGACTCTTTTGTAACGCGTTCTGTTAACCTGCCATGAAATCAAAAATAACACAAAGGCATTTTTTAATTTACAGGTTTGACAATGCTGTTTCTAATGCAGTCCCTCTTTCAAAAAACACAACACTTACCAAATCTTCTGCCAAAGTCACCTCAATATAAACTAAGCTTTTTGTTTCAACAACAAGCAACTATAAACTCTACATATAGACCTGCCAATCTGCTCATGTCCCCTGTATCTCAAAGATAATTCCTGAATGAGGTTTAAAATGCTCTGTTCGGGTAATGTGGCTCAGCGGAGTAGGTGGGCAGTGACAAGACATTATCATTGATTTCTTTATAGATTGGATGTGCTTCCTGCACAGTGTGCTCAGGTTGTGAAAACAGAGAGGCTGGGTCAGGAAGACTGATGGTTTGGATACTTCTTCTAAATAGAGTCCATCGTCACTGTTCGGGTGGAGGTATTTAAGATACTTATTGCTCTTCTTCCCTCTTCTTTTGTTTTCTCAGACAGAAAATGGTTTACTCAATCACTGCTAAAATATACTATCCTCCATGTCATTCTTGTTGCCATCAAAATATTTAAACATATTCTTAAAGCATAAGAGTGGTGGTCAGTAAATGAGTACAGCTAAAGAGTCTTCAATTCATCACAGTAAAACTGACACATAATCAAGAATGATATTCACCTTGGTAACCAAACATTCCCTCAGAGGGATTTGTTTTACAATGCCCAAGTAGACCCATGTTCACAATAAGCCCAACTTAGGACTATAAACCATCATCGTAAGGTCACATGAGGTCTCTATGCCATCTGGTCCTCTTGTAATGTCATTTGGCCTATTTTTGGTCTAATTTGATCAAGGTGTGAACATAGCCCCGGTCTGTTCTACCAGATATAACACCAATGCAGCATTCACTGTGATAACGACAGCCTAATGCAATCAGCCCCAGAACTGACATGCATTTTCTGCGACGACCAGACTAATTGCATTGTGAAATCTCTGAAGAGTCACTCTGCTGAAAGCTTGCAGGAATTTACTCAGTGCCCCTTCTCCAACCAGAGAGATCAATCCTTTTGATGAAAAGATAACGCCTGAATAAGCAATTATAAGAATACAAGCTTTTTTTCCAGTCCTCTGGGAACCTAGTGGTCTCGAATTGCACAGAATTGTATCAACAGTCAAGCAATCTAAAGAAGAAGTCCATCTTCTGAAAGGAACCAAAACAAAAGACATGCAAGTGAAAATACAATAAAGAACCTTTCAACAAACCAGATTTCCAGGAACATCAAAATGCTCTCCATCACCAATTGCAATATTCAATTACCAACTAAAACACATACTGAGTACAGCCACCTGCTAAAAAGAACAAAGAAAAAACTATAAAATACAAATATATATGT